CAGCTTTCGCAACTTGGGAGAAAATTTGAATCTTGGAATTGGGGGGGAAAAAAACAGGCCGGTTCAGGCACTCTGTTTCTAGCAGTTGCCAGAAACGGACGAGTAAAGCAAAGTGTGCCTGTGGAAAACCTTGGGATGGCGCCGGTGTTTTTCATGTGCATCATGTTTAGCGCGAGTGAGTACTTGCCCGTGGTCGGGTCACTGATGGCTTATTAGAACTTCTGGTTTAAATTATTTTGGTGGGTTAATGTGTTTTTAGAATTTAGAGGTGTATAAGTGTTTTAATTTGATTATATATTCCATTTTTGTTGTTGTTCGGAGAACTCGAGTTTTTGTGACCCTCCTAGTGAAGCATGTTTTCCACAGCATAGGTTAAGTGATATCCACGGACGACCGATAGGGGGTGAGTACAGTTAATGCCCCCTATCAGGGCACAACAAATTGGTGGCAAGCGGCGCGATGTTGTTATTCTGCTCGAATTACCGGGCTTACGCACCGGAGATGTTTAAGAAATTTTAGGAAACATGGATAACTTTTAACCACCCACGAGTTTAAGTGACAGTGTTTTGATTTATTTGTTGCCGTAACTAGACATACGGATTTGTAGGGATCAAATATGTTTGCCGTGGCTCTGTGACTCATTTCTTTTTAAATTTTTATTAAAATTATCTTCAAGGGCAGATGAATATGTTTATAAATTTAAGCAGTTAGTGATCGAACTTGAGAGAGAATTGCTTTTGAAAGGAAATTGTGGGAGACCTACGAATATAGTTTAGCTTACAGTAGATACACGTTGGCCCTTTGGCGTGAAGCATGGCTCGTGTGGGGGAAATGGAGGTTCTCCAAACACAGATGGAGGAACTACGGCTTCAGTTGGAAACCCTCAGAATTGGGGAGGCCCACAGAGGGCAGAGCAAGGAAGTTTCACTTGTAGCCGGGATAAAGGAATGGACGGGGGAAGTAAGGGGAGATCTGTATACGAGTTTTTAACGCAGATAGAGACATTGGCCAAGGTAAGTGGGTGGACTAGCCACGATAAAGCTTCCATTGTTAAGGCCAAATTGCAAGGGTTGGCCTTGCAGTTCCTGAAAGGAAGGGAAGAGCTAGGCCGAGATGGATGTTCCCTGGAAGTTCTGAGGCAGGCACTGATTGAGAGGTTCAGTGACAAGCTCCCTGACCAGTATTACGATACTGGACTACAGGACGCGTTTCAGGGGAAGAACGAAAGCGCGGAGGAGTTCAGTGACAGTTGTAGGAAGATATGTCTAAGAACCATCAGGAAGGTTAACGACGAAGAGACCCAGCGTTTAATTAATGAGGAAGCGGAACGTAGGTTGTTGGCAGCCTATGTTCACGGTCTTAGGGGCATAGTGGGGCAACAAGTACAATTTCAGATGCCCAGCACAATGGAGCAGGCGGTGAGGTTAGCGGTCACAGTAGAAAACGTGGAGAAACACAAACAGCTAACCGAAAGTGTCAAGAATGTATTTATCACTAGGAGCGACGTTGAATGTTTCCGTTGCAGGAAAAGAGGGCATTATGCTAGGGATTGCCGACAAGAAACCCCTCCATGACGTCAGGTCGGAGGTCGTGGCGAGATCAGAACTCTAGGCGGAGGGATCCACCCTCCCGCGACCTTCTGCTAACTCGAGGAGGTAGAGGAAGGGTCGGATCAGGCAGCCAAATCTTTCGGGGACCAGCGCGGCCTTTGGGCCCACCTGAGGATATTCGCTCGTCAGGCATCCAGTGCTTCCATTGTAATGAGTTTGGGCATAGGCGTAGAGACTGCCCAAAATTTTCTCGAGCTGCCCAGCACCCAAACGGTCAGGGTTCGACGTCCAGATCCCCAGCGTCGAACCAGCAATAGAGTGCACGACGGTAGGTCGGTCGCACGTAGGAATTACTGGCCCAGAGTTGTTGCTAGAAATAGAAATAGAAGGAAGCTTCCACCAGGTGTTAGTAGATTCAGGAGCAGCCTGAGAGTGATGAAGCCGGTAATTAATACGCCATGTATTCGTGCTACACGGACAGCCGCAAGAGGGAACACGGAAGCTAAATTGAAAATAGTAGAAGCGCAGTTGATGACATTTAGGGTGGGGAAAAAGATGTTTACCCATGAGTTTTTGATAGCCCCCTAGATACGGAGGACAGTGGTGTTCTAGGGGCTGATGTCCTCAGACGGATGGGGGCGTGTATCGATTTACGAACCGACACGCTAGTCCTAGGAAGGACGCACCATCAATTATCAGGACAGGAGGTCGAGCGGCGTGCGCCAGTCCACTGCCAATGCCGGACGACACAGAGGGTGTCACCAGCAGGCTTGGCCAGCCCAAGGTTTTCGCCGTCGGGTGGACCGATTGAAGTACCTACCCCAGGGTTGAGCCCGGGAGGATCCTGTATAGATTGTTGGAACGTGCTGCCTCAGGAGCCAATCGTCATCCTCCGTTGTCTGCGGGACTTGTAATAGGGAAAATAGAGAGGAGTAAAGGGGTGAAGTTGCCCCGGGAGATATTAAAGAAAGGTTGCACCTGTGCTTAACTAATTCAGCACAACACCATGAAGATGTATGGGGGAATTTATGAATAGACACAAATTTTCTTGACCTAGGCGCTTGATGGATGTGAGTGGTAAGCTTCACGACCCAGCCGCTGTACCCCCGGGGATAGAATCTCACGTAACTCGTTGGATAGGTTGTGGGTCGGCCCAACAGCCAGTCTGGACGACATGGAGAAGTGAAAATATTTTCCCCCACCTGGACTCGAACTCACCATTATATTTGTGTGTTTGTGTATCGCCCCCATCAACTTTTGAATGCACGAAACACTCTTGGTATGCATACCATTGAACCTGGGCCCCTTCTCAACGACGTCCTTCTTGAATCCCTCCCGTCACTCTTTGTATCTACACGCATAGCTCCTTATCGTTGATAGGCAACGGCTCGGTTAAAACGTTACCGCGGCAACAAACATACGCAACAATTGCAGAACTCTTGGATGCGTCGTCGTCTATGCCGTCCATGTAGTATCAAGTAAAGTATTCGATAATTTTCCACACAGAACTTGGGAGGCAGGTCGAATACCTCCATCGTAACCCTGCGAGAAGTAGGCGACGAAAAGGGAACCCAGTGCCTGCGGTTATAACTGCGCCACCCTGTTCCTCTGGGATATATATACTGGGACCTGGCCCTACAAGTTGAGGGAGTTTCGAATCTGAAGCAACGAAATGTGGTCATGAGTCTCGCGGGACTTGGACCTGAAAATGACTGCGCTGGCGAGCTCCTCATGTCAGAGAGGATGTTACATAAGGATTATGACAGCAAATGTTCAGTTGAAAATAAAATTGCTAAACGTGAGTCCTCAAGTCCAAATGACTGGCGGTAAACGGAGAGTCGCAAAGTAATTTTGACTCTGACTCTCGGCGAAGGATACATCCCATTTTCAAAACGCTTAAAAGGCTGAAAATAAAACATCGTAATGGGTCCCGAAACCAAAAATGATTGGGCTGGCGAGGGCCAGCGCCAATTTACTAGAATGGATTGGAAGGAAAGGAGACAATTAATTCTACCCAGAACATCTTGTTATATTATTCTACCATCTACGTCTAGGTCTTCCCGGTGATAACTTTAGCTATTATTTCAACAAAATCACTAACCGGATTTACTTTTGTGATCGCAGAGCAGTGGGTTTTATATCACGTAAACAGATTTCAAAATATTATTTCGACGAGTTTCAGTTCCACCACCTCTCNGTGCTTCCTTTCTTTTGACTTTGTTAAAAAAAAAGGTGAAAGTCATGAAGACATCCGGGGGAGTGCAGATACAGCTTCGATAATCTTTAGGCCTTTAGCTTTACGCCCCGGCCGCAAACACCCGAGGAAATCACCTCCAGTAAAAATTGAATAGGAGGTTGGGAGGGCCCAAGAATCGGTTGGACGCTGTGGGAAAGAGAAACCTTTGTCCTCTTGACTTGGGTATGGAAGGGTTGACAACGGGATAAATTTCGTATGATATTATCCACAGGATGAGGTTTCAGCTCGTAACAAAGCATCCACTTAAACAGAATAACAGAGGAAGGCAGTGATACCTGCATATAAAAAAAGGTAATTCTCTAACAAGGGCTTTGTTCTCTTACAGAACTTCCAATAACCAAGAACACAGTTTCTGTGATGCGTCCCACAATCTATCCAGTGCAGAACAAGGAACAAAGTTTCAGCAATATCAGCCACAACCCTAGTGCGGGAAAGAGAAGGATTCCTGTGAAGTCAGCCTCAACCGTCCTGCAGTCCAAGTGAAAAGTTTCAGCAATATCAGCCACAACCCTAGTGGGGGAAAAAGCAGGATTTCTGTGAAGTCAGCCCCAACCGTTCTGCAGTCCAAGGTGAAAATTTTCAACAATATCAGCCACAATCCTAGTGGGGGAAGAGTTAAGATAGTACACCGGAAGCTCGACTACAGCAATGTGAAGGGCAAGGTCAACACAGGGAGGATAACGCCATAAGGGGGTCACTGGAGGGGTGACATGTAACACGGTCCAAATACAAGCGAGGAATGTGCAACAGACATCAGACATGCAAAACAAAATATTAACCATACTTGGCGGCAAATAAGAGCAGAAAGAATTGCCCCAGTGTGCAAATAGAAATTACAAATCTTCGAAGTGAATTGGATTTCATGGACTAGAAAGCGACGATTTTCACATTCGGAAAAACTGACTGATGAAAATCTCCTATTTTTCCATCAAGAAACAGAATTTGACAAGGCCTACAATGATGCCGAAGAATGAGATAACTTGCAACTGAAGGAGGTCACTGTCATAGAATTTGAAGCTATCTTTCGAGCTGTACAACTCGTGAAGCAATCACGAATGCTGAAACCTACTTCGATGGAAGCATACAAATTCACGGAGGTCACTCTCATAGAATCTGAAGTTATCTATCGAGCCGTGCAAGTCGTGAAGCAATCACGAATGCTGAAACCTACCTCGATCGAAGCATACAAATTCGCTGAGGTCACTCTCATAGAATTTGAAGCCATTGTGGGAGTCGTTGTATGCATTGTCTTGTCCTTCCGTGCTAGGACCTGGTAGGGGCCGCTGTATTTGGGCTTCAATGCTCTGCGAGTAGTGTCCTACAGGAGGAAGACGTGTGTGCACTTCTTGAGGTCGCTGTGCACGAATGTAGCCGGGGAGGCATGGCGTGTTGCTGGAATTGTTCTGAGACGGGCCATGTATTGGCGAAGTTGTGTGATGAGGTTCGCTGGATCCACAGGCTCGGCAGTCGGGGTTGGGTGGTCTCC